TTATATAATACGTAAATTTCGACTTGTATGGCTGTATGACTCTTGGTTATTTTAATCACTTGTATTGTGTTCTATGTTCCCCTTTTCCCCCTTTGAATTGTTCGCCGCCCTGAGTCCCTCCCGGAAAAGGGCGGCATACAAATAAAATTAATCCTAATCCTAATCCTGAAAGCCGAAATTTACGTATTATATAAAAATATGCATCCGGGAAAACTACAGACCTATCAGCCTGACCTCAATCCCTGGGAAGATTCGGGGGGTGGGGTTGGGGGGTGAACCAAGCGACGAATCAGCCTACAATCCCTGCAAAAGTTGACAAGCGTTTCCGAAACCCGACAACGGCCCTCGGCGTGTGGGCTTCCCTCCCCGTCACAGACGACTCACATCATTGGCCACGCCGGTGTGGACGAGGTCACGCAGGAATTTCATGACGCTGCAGTTGGCGTCCCGGTGATCCAAGGTGGTGGCGGCGATGGCCCACTGCAGGATGGGGAGGATCACCTGGCTACGCAGGAGGGTGAGGGGGCTGCGTTGGATGAACCTGCCATGGAGGGGAAGGGGGGAGAGGGGAGAGTTAGAGCAGGTTTCTCGTTTCAGCCCTGCAGGTGAGCGTTAGGGGGGTGGTCTCAAATTAAGGGGGGGGAATGAGAAGGCTGAGTGGAATTCTTTCTACTCCCTCCGGGCCCAACCCTGAAGCCCTTCTCCATCTCTCCATCTGTCTGTCTGTCTGTCTATCCTTCCATCTCTCTGGATGTCCCTCCATGCACCCCTCACTCCCTCCATGCACCGATCTCTCCTATCAATCTATCTGTCATTACATCTATCATGCATCTGTGTCTATCCTTCTGTCCATCCACACCTGTCTCTATGTCTCAAGGTATCTCTATCTACAGTTATCTCTCTCTATCCTATCTACCTACCATCTATCAATCCCCTATACTTCTCTGTCTGTCTGTCATCTATCTGTCTATCTATCTCTCTATTTATCTATCTAATCTCTCTCTATATATATCCATTGTATCTATCTCTCTATCTCTATCCTCTATCTCTATCTATTCTCTCTATCCATTTATCTCTCTCTCTCTCTCACTCTCTAATCTATCTCTATCTCTCTATCCAATGTATGTATGTATGTATGTATGTATGTATGTATGTATGTATGTATGTATGTATGTATGTATGTAT